CCCCCCCAAGGGGGGGCCCCTGAAAATTTTAGGGGGGCCAAAAAGTAGCTCCCTTTGACCTAGGAATATCCCCCAAGTTTCAAATCTTTACCTCAATTAGGTAAAAAGTTAGAGGGGGTGGAAGGGACTTTTGGATCACCCTGTATGAACATTCTAATGTTGCCAAAGTCCTCTTGATAAAGCACTCTTTTGTAGGAAACTTGGGAATATTTTTCTTTGACAGTTTCGGATGATATAGATCAATTTATGAAAAAACCTCTCTGCAAAATTGGAAGATAGTATTCCGAAATTTCTCAGAAAATCCGTGTTTTATCAACTAAAATTTGGCAACAGCCGAAAGCTCATACGGCGTTTTTCTTGAGCAAAGCCGTATAGCTTTCATCCCTCAACTACGCATTACATACAGCTTAACGGTTGGAGTGCCGCATTGCATGGTTATAGGACATTAATTTCGTCAACGATTTTTTGTCCGCGCACCTGTTATTTCCAGGAATTTACGTCCACGCGTTTTTACGGCACGGGAGTTTTGGTCCACGTGCCAGTTGAGACCCAAAGTTAATTGGCCCACATGTAAAGACAAACGAGAATTACTCAGGACGTTTTTGGATGAAAATATATAATGTCTTGGAAGAATGAGGGTTTGCTTGTTTTTTTGTTTTGTCTTCTTGGTCCAACAAAGAATAATATATAGTTGAGAGTTTTAGTAAAAATGGGGGAGCGTCAATTCCATGAGACAAAATTCACTAAAACTCTCTACACCTCTTTGGTGTAACAGGACTTGATTATCTTTCAAGATTTTCCCACCTTGTTATACCTGAACCGGATAAACCTCTATATTTGCCTCAGCTAAGGCTCCCTGTTTTTTCCAGTGTACGATAAGCATCTTGATTTATTTTGCGAGGAAAGATCTGTACTTTTAAAGGATGCCTGTCATTCATAATACGTTCAATTTTGTAAAATACTGTGCAACACCTCTGTTGTGAAATAGTCGCTTCAGGCGCCGCCGCACGGCGGGCGAGCGGCCAGCGCGAAACGCGCCTACAAACCTAAGTGGATACTACAAGCATTGTGCAATGCGTGAAGTATCCACTTAGGTTTGTAGGTGCCAGTGAGCCTCTTGCGCTGGCAGCACGCCGCGCGCCGCTCCGCTCTGTTCGGCTTTGATATTTATACTCGCATAGTCAGCGTTTTTTAACTCATGATTTTGAAATGTTAGCACACTCTGCATTGATTATTCTCATTTAAATTGATGGGAAAAAAATATTTATCAATTTATCAAAGGAGAATACTAATATAATGTGTGTTTTTTAAATATTGGTGGTTCCGTGTCAAATTTAATGATTTCCAAAGCACTTTAATTTTTTCTTTTATATTTTGTGCTTTTATTGTGTTTGCAGCGAGGTGTACGCGCAACGAAACGCTCAAATTTTGACGTAGGTAACTCTAAAAGATCGATATACAAATGGGTTAAAACTAAAGATTGCGTGCTTCTTGGTTTTTTCCCTATTTTATTCATTTTTGCAGTTTCTGTCGGCACAACTGCGGCTCATTGAAATTAATGTCGCTTGGAAAAGGCTTTACAAATATTTGTCACGTTTAAAAAATATAAATGTTTTCAAAATGAAGTAATAATTTTGTAAAGAAAAAATAAAAAAATAAAAAAAGTACCTATACATATGTAAGGTATATTGTACATTTAATATTTTAAGGACTGAAATAAAACCAAATATTCACCAATGACAATTTAAAAAGATGATTCAAAAGGAGAAAGTAATAACATTTCATTTAGAAAACACCTCCTTCTCTCTCAATTTCTCATTTCCATATTTTCAATATTATTTTACATACCGACTAAAATATAACGCTTGGACCATGTGACTGTTGCTTATTTTACATGTGGGTGTAAACTACTGGACAAAAAATCGTTGACAAAATGTCCTGAAACCCATCGCATTGCCTGGGAACTTAAGCGCCGTTAGTTTGCCTTCAAATTTGGTGATACAACCCAACACCACACAGAAGTTAATTAAGATGTATCAGCCGTTTGGCTTCCTTCTTGATGTTTCTACGTATCCTAGAAACTTATTACTACATTTGAGGAATTATCAATGAGTCAACTGACCCGCACAGTCATGCTAAAGAGAAACTCCGCGCCTCATGTACTCACAAACATGCGAAAATTGCCAAATGTCTCTAAAAAAGTACTATTTTTAAGAAAAGTTCTGATCATCACGTTTTTTCACAAGTCGACTTTTTTTCCGACCTTAAGGCAAATAAAGGTGCTCAGAGATTTCATTGACGAGGTGTACAATAACATTTAAATTTGACCGGTTTGAGAGATCTCTCTTCTCCGATACTCTAAGTAAATTATAATCATCAGTAAGTTGTACCTTTCTTTTTCGTACCTTTACCACGAAAACCAGGCGTGAGCAGTAAACAGGTACAATAGCCATTATCGCAGGATCCTATCGTGTATTTGCTCCGCCTCTCGCAACTCCCCCTGCACAGCAATAAGCCAACTTTCGGCGGACATTTGAAGGTCACGTAAATCGGTGGCACCCTATATCTGGCATACACCGCTCCTTGAACACAAAGAAAATGAAATGAGTCTAAAATGCTTAAAGAACTATCATGGTTTACTGTTATGGTACAATTGACGCGAAAGGACCGTACTCTTAAGTGAGACGGAAGATGCGTCACTACATTTCGCAAGAGGGAATTTTTATTTCTATCTCACTGGGAAAAAAAGACATTGGATCTAGAGTCCAGACTCTTGAAAACATTGACAAGAAAAAATACTCTTGATTCAATCAGATTTTTGCTTAAAGCAAAAGGAAATCCGCTCAAATTAAGAGGCTTGGTTCTTGATTTAAGCAAAAATCCAATTGAATCAAGAGTATTTTTTCTTGTCGATGTTTTTAAGAGTCTGGACTCTAGATCCAATGTGTTTTTTTTCCGGTGCTCATTTTAAAGACAACATTAGGTGCCATTAGCTTCCTTATGCATATTATACTTTTGTAGATAAGCCAGGCATAGTATTTGCGTTACTAATATCTGTGCGTTATTTTGGTCCCATACGCTTCAAGTATACTTGAGCATACTCCCCCCCCCTGAAAATATTAAAGTGTGACTAAGAGGAAACGCAGGGAATAAAGGTTCAGAAGCATTGGCCCAGCCACTCTCCGAGGAGGTCTGGATGTCTCGGATGAACGTGTGACTGAAATCTGACATGAATTGAACATCAACATTTCTTTGTCCCATGGCCATGAGGCTCCATGTGCATTAATTTTCAAACGCGATAGAATGCGACGTTTCCTAGAATGAGGTTTTAATGGATAGCTCTTTTGATCCCTTGCTCACAGTAATTGTGACTCACAATATTTCTAAGTTTTTATCTTAGCTATAATGGAACGCCTACCATGAAAAAGTGAATCACGATAACTGAGGCGTTGCGTGCAGAGACGGCGCGCGGCATTTCTCGGTTGCGGTGTTTTAAAAACTCAAAAGCTAATTTATATTTTAGATATGAATCTATAGGGTGAATGCTCTGAAATTTTACGTTTTCAGAATTGTAAAATCATAAAGAATATTCAGTAAAAGTTCCAGCAGATTAAATACCCTTGCTTTAATCATAATGAATGAAAAGTTAGCGAAGATTTTGAGACACCGCAACCAAGAAATGCCCTTTCTGAAATCAGCGCTTCAACTTCGAGTCGAATTTTTTTCACAACCTCGAAAAATCAAATGCAATAGGAAAGAGACGAAAGCCTTTGGCCATCAAACTTGCAAAATTTAACAGGATTTTTTTCTGCTTCAGGCCATTTCTTGAAAAACGAAAAACTGGCAGTACTTACGCAGAATTTTCCGCAAACACTCTCGAAAATTTGAAATTGTCGAAAAGTTTGAACACTGTCGGAAAAGCTGAAAGGCCGAGATGTAAACTTATTCATCGGTGTTTTTGCAACCATGGCGGTTTTAGCTTTTGGCACATCTGCTTATAATTTGAGATAAATTTTTGGGAATGTAATTTTTGGGAATGTATGTTCGTGCACTTAAATGCACAAAATACATTCGTCTGAGTGCGTTCAAATACCACTGAATGCATTTTTCGTGGTTTGTAGACCTCCCTCAAAATTTTCTTGGCACGTCTAGTCACAAATCCTTTTTTGATTGAGTCTTCAATGAGTGTAAAATTTTTATTTTCTTTTTGGGAGCGCTCACATATCGTGAGGCAATTTTACCGACTATTGGACCCCTTTCTAGCAAGTGAGGTAGTCATGACGAATGTTCAAACTGCTCTTACGCATAAAATACGTAATTAAGGTGGGTGAAACCTCTCTCATGCCACCATGTTCATCGGTCTTTTTTCAGAGATGTGACACAAAATCTTTCCTCCATCAAAAACTGCGCACTTCCGTTTTTAAAAAAAACATCTCGATCGTCACGTAAATCTGAACCGCGGCCTCTAACTCCCTCACTAAGCGTTATAACGCACTCTTAGACCCCCCCTCTCTTCAGAGTGCGTTGCATGGTTTTCAAAAAAACCCTCTTCGTGGGCTCTTACAAGTTTGCAAAACCCTTTTCTCTTAATTTAAATTCGCAATAAATATCGATTGCAGATCAGGCAGTCTACTCCAGCTAGGATCGATTATTAAATATATTCTTAAATGGAAGAAAAAAGGTGTTCCTAACTTGCAAGAATCGGCGTCGATTGTGACGCAAAGGTCTTCTAATCGTAAAAATAAGATACATACCTTTCGGGTATTTATTCATATTGGGCCTGAAGTACGGACTTCTCTGACGGACCACCGTTCGTTGAATTTGCATCAGCCCTGTAAGCAAGATTAGCGGATTAAGTAAAATCAGGACAAAATCTCAACATGGCTGAATTACATTCCATTAATCAATTGGACTGCATTTTTCAATTTGGAACTATACATTCTGACCCGGTTTAAAAACAACGTACGTGCCATTAGTTTCCTTATGCACATACGTGTTTTTTCAGATGAGACAGAATTTTTAGCTCCAAATTGCAAAATGCAGTCCAATTGGACGGCATCGAAAAGAATCGCGGCCCGGCTATCTTTGAGGGGCTTGGTAGGCTAGTGGGATAGTGCGGTTTTTGAAAAAATTGATCATCAATGATTTCTGCTGAAACTAGTCTTGATCTTGATATATACCCTGTAAAAAATCACTACGAAAATACAATTTTGAGGCATCAAAGAATGAGTTTGAACTCTTATCTGCCATAGGGCTCCTGGTAACTTTGAAACTTTTAACTCGTATTTCTCGAAATAGCAAAAACTGTACGTATCTTACTTGTCCTCCGAGACCCTCACCTAATTTCCTTATCACGTTTTATTTTATTTAACAAAAAACTAAAGAACGTGATGCCTTGAATATTTCCGTATACATTCCGTCAGGTTATGTAGCATATATGCAGGGTCGGACTGGCTCGCATCTGAGGGCGTAGACCCTTGGTTGGTTCAAGGGGCGTAATGTGACATTTCCGGTAGGGCGTCTCCTACGTGGAGAGGGGTTCAGAAAATTTTGGCGAAGCAGCACAAGTTTACGCTATTTTCAGGTTCAAAGTTTATTAATCGTACAGAGTAAAAATTGCAAAATTGAACGCATCGAAGTGACCAATAGACTTCTGAAATTAAAGAAAACATAACTAACTAAAGCCACTAGACGCATCCAAGCACCATTTTTTCCGAAAGGACCGAGCCAGTGCTGCGGTTTACACGAGCTTATAAGGCGTGGGTCTGCAAGTCTATCCTAAAAAAGAATCAGACAAAACCCGAAGGAAGAAGAAAGAACGAGTATCAACACAGCCGAAGGTAGGAGAGCAATGTGTTCGGGCCTCTTTTATAACTTTTCTTCCGAATCTGACAATGAGCGATACCTCATTGACAATATGTAGCAGAGTATTGAGAGCTCACGCTTCGCGTCATCGCGCCTTCAATTTTTCAGAAGCAGCACGGACGTCCATCAAGTACGAATAGTTGTATCTCTGCGCCGTCGTAAACGCGCATTCTTTCCCTAGCTTTATTTCCATATTGTGTTTGTTTGCGTCGAACCTTCAAACTAGTAGCATAGAGAGCATTGCGAGTTTACGACTCACGCCATCGCGTCTTACATTTTTCATATCGACGGTGAAACTACCAAACCACGTATCTCGATTTGCGACGTCGCAGACTTCCTGTCATACTTTTTTTTTTTAAATGAAAAACTACTTAACGTCCAGTCTTGAAAATTTCTGTGATTTTTCCTCTTCGTGCGGAGAAAATTCTGTGAAAATTTCAAGGAATGATATTGATGTGGTCTACTTCAAAAAAATAAAATGTGAGCGTAGATTTTTAAACACCGTAAACGAGATACGTGGTTTGGTAGTTTCACCGTCGATATGCAATGTAGACATCCATCTTGCGCGAATCGTCATATCGCGTTTAAACTTTAGATGCCTCTTATTTTTGAATTGCGAGATAAATGACGGTTATGTTTGCCCGAGATATGCTATGGTATGTCCAAATCAATAGTCATTTTGAAAAGGAAGAAATATGTTTAAAGGTCTCTCAAGAGGGCTATAAAGGCACGCGAATGTCTATATAAAAGTCGAACCGACCATCGCTTCTAAGGGAGTTACACATAGCGAATGAAGGAGGGGGATGATAAAGCGTCTGCAAGTCAACAAAAAGGTAAAAATTTCACAGAAAAGTATGTATGCTTCAGAAAGTAGTTCTTGGACCTCTGTTCACCACAATCATGCGTGAAAGCACCTTTCTTTACTCCTAACTCTCTCTTTTTTTTCTCAAGAAATTTTCCGCATAAATTCTCGGTCGTAATTTTGTTTTATCTTCTCATTTTACTATCTGTCAGAGGGGCGCGTTTTCGGCGAACCACGGGGGCGTATTTGCCAATGGCAGATTGGCCTTATGGCCAGTCCGAGCCTGAGCATATGCTTATACAATTTCAAGTCGCAGGTTTGCTTTTTTTCCTATTAAAAAAATAAAATATGAGGGGAAAAATCCGGAAAATTCTGGTGTGCTTAGCTTGATACTGATAAATCCGCTCGATTATGTTATTTTGATGATACATTGTTTTCCGAGACACAAATTTGTGATAAAAAATAGAGAATTTCCATCTTGAAGTAAAATCTTGAATCTAGCACTGAAACTTGAATAATCTCACGCAATGTAAAGGTGTACACACACATGCACATACATAAAAGTAGCTTCAAAAACGCCCCCTGGCGTTCTGTGACCCCCAAACGTCACAGGTAACGGGGATCTTTCCAGAGGTTTTCGGGCAACTGACAACGCAATATCTCTTGAAAGTTGCATATTTTTTTTATTTTAAAACGAAATCCCATACTTTTACTCGATTTTACACATTTTTCTGCATCACAGAATAATAAATTGAGAACGCTTTGAGTACGTCTATTCAGGACTTCTCCCTTTCAGATAAAAAATCAAATGCGTCACGATGAGTTTAGATTGTAATGGCCGCCCATTTCCGTGGCGTGAAAAAGTCTGACAATGTGACTGGTCACATTTTCTGTGCCAGGCACGATGGCTTGAGCAAGGTTTTAGTGTCTAGTGATAAAAAATAAAAGCTGCACATTTGTTATGTCTGCTTTGAGCGACAACTCAGCTTTTGTATTGAGCCCTAACTCCGGCCTAGAAAATGTTTCAAAGGTTTGAAAATTCATAATCTAGCATGCGTCATTTCTTTTCAGGTGCGGGGTAACGGACAAAAACTGGCATAAAATTGCGACTTCTCAATATTAATGGATCCGTTGTTTCGAAAGCAAGTAGAATGATGTGACCGTCATGTTCCCTTCGCCCAAGTAGCATTTTCCAAGGGAAAAATCGCGATATTTTGAAATTAACTTGCGATTTTCTCACGAGTTTTTGGCGACAAAATCACTATAAGATCATCAACACATGAGCGATTATCTTCGATCTTGTCGCAATTTTATCTCCGTAAAATCGCGTTCGATAAAATCGAAATTTTACGCTAATTTTTCACAACGTTTTGTTCGAGAAAATTGCGATAAATCGCCGTCGATATAATCGCGATTTCACTGCAAATTTATGCGATGAAATTGCAATTTATCTATTATCGATAAAATCGACGTCAAAAAAGAAAAAAACGTTAACGTCGACGTCGTTCTCATACTAAATCGCAACTTATCGCGGCCACTACTAATTGCGCATGTCATGACCAAAAGCAACCAAAAAACCGGGAAAATTGGCCTTTGGTCTAAGAAAAGCGCTACACAGACATAAGCGCTACATCAATTAAGTCAGGAAATGCGAACTTCTCGTCTGAAATGGGCCTGTTGCATGCAAGAGATACAGCCGCGCAAATAGACTTTTTAGAGGTTAAATGATACGAAAATTACGATGGTCACATTAAAAAAAGTCTGAAATACACTCCTTACTGCGCAATTTGCGTTGTTAGGAACGCGCTTTTTCAAATTTCCCGCATCTGGGGGCAGTTTTCTAATCACCGGAAACGAGCAAATGGCGGGCTCGGTGATTTCCGGAAGATGCCGAGTTATTGTTGTTGTTGTTATTTGTTCCTTCAGTTTGTTTACAAACCCAACGTGATCTCCTATAGTGGTCCATATACGCTTTATGCGGTAACCAAATCGATCACTTTTAAATATCCAACGCAATCCTTCTACATTTCATTTCACGATGTCACGAACTCCGATTTTTAGGTTATGTTGTCAGTTTTAGTTGACCGGAAATAGCCGCGAGTTGCCGTTAATTATTTCCGTTAGAAAACTGCCCCCAGACGCGGGAAATTTGAAAAAGCGCGTTCCTAACAACACAAATTGCGCAGTAAGGAGTGTATTTCAGACTTTTTTAATGTGACCATCGTAATTTTCGTGTCATTTAACCTCTCAAAAGTCTATTCGCACGGCTGTATCTCTTGCATGCAACAGGCCCATTCTTTGCGGTTGAAAGGAACGCCTTATTAATCCGAAACGGTTTCAAAGCAGTGGCGTGGCGTGAATTGCGATACATCGATTGTTATGCCATTTAAACCTATTGAAAAGGATCGATATACAGGCTGTTCGCAGCGAACACCTTAAGAATCGATTATTTACCATAGGTTTAAATGGCATATTACAATCAATACATCGCAACTCACGCCACGCCACTGTTTCAAAGAGTTTCCGAGCGATCCCTCCAAATTTAAAAATCGCGTCATATTCGATCGCAGAGATTTGCCAGAGAGGGTGTAATGTTGTGGGTCACGTGGTAAAGCTACGAGAGTAAAAGTTTCCACCTGTCTCACGAGGGGACTCAGTTTTTGGCTCTTCTTGGAATAAACGTCATCATTGTAATTATGGAAACGCAGCTGCAATTTTTCAGACATGCCATTTGCAACAGTTTCTCTAGGAAAAAAGAAAAAAAACGACCAAATAAAGGACAAAAAATCGGTCAAGCGTGCAGCCACGTGTCCTTTGACGTGTACTGTAGACGACTTGTGAATTGTAGTTTTTTCGAGTGTATATTCTGAAAAAAATGCGGAGGTTTTTATGAAATGAAACTGCATTTCAGACCAATCCTCTTCTTAAATAATCATTCTTACATTCCATGACGGCTTGTTAATTTTTTTTTCTTTATAGAGAAAAATGAAACTTACCGACAGTCATTTGATTCATGTTTGGTCTGGCTCTTAACTGATTTAAGCTTGGCCCAAGTCTGCGCTGATTCATATTTGCCCTACTTATGAGCTGATTTAACGGAACCATTTGAACTTTTCCTGCTGGAACGGCTCCTAGAAAACGTATCGGTAGATATATTAATGATCACGCAAATATTTCAAGACAAGAACTGTACGTTTATGGATTGGCAGGTGTTGCTTAAAGTATATGACATTAACCTTTTCAAAGTTCACCCGTAAATTGAAACACAAGAAGGACAAGAAACACAAGAAACACAAGAAGGTAAATGGAACGGAAGTATGATATTTCCCTCTTCGATGCATCCAAAATCAAAAAAATACTCCACTCCGTTGATTTTGGATGGTCTGCAGCAAAGGAGCTTACCTTTGTTTTAGGTACTTTGAATGTGTTCGAAACTTTCTGTATTAGTAGAAGAGATGCAATCTGCCATGCTAAGGGAAAACGCCGTATGAACCTCCAGGCGTTGCCAAATTTCTTCTGGTATGATACGAATTTATTGGGAAAATTGTAAATATTTTTCTTCCGAATTTCAGACCATTTTCTTCCGAATTTCATCTAAAGTATCTGAAAATTTTAGGGAAAAATATACGTCAATCTCGTCAAAAATACATGTTTTTCCGAGGACTTTAGCGACCCTCGAATGTTCATACGGCATTCTACCTTAGCACGGCAGTAATACTGTGTAACAATTGAATCGGTTTCTGTTAGACGGACTTAAGTCAAAAAACTCACGAGGCCCTAGCATCCTGCGTGATCAACGAAATCCAGGGCTCATGATTTTTGAGGCTTGTGCCCGTCTGACAGAAACCGGTTCAATTAAGATACACTGCTCTTATTCATATACATTCGAAACATCACCGATGACTTCACAATATTTTGGCTTGACTGAATTCTCTACAATGGTTGATGACACCTAGACACTAACCTTGTTAACCTGGTTGTCTAGGACATCAACATGAGTAAAATATTAAGACGGAACCGATTCTGTAGCTAGACGACAAGTAGCAGTTATGCACGAATAAAAGAGGAAATTCAGTTAAGCCTTTAGCCAGAACTAGATTTCTAACATTTCACATCAAATGACCGTTAAACTTAACTAGATGCGTAAGTAACACTGAATGAAACCTAGTAATGGTTCAAAGATTTCTTAAGGGATCATGATCATGATATTATCATGAATTTAGGAGTCACTGACATTCTCTTTGATTCGTGTGTGTAGCCTTTTTGCAACATTATCGGCATCTCACACCAACATTTTTGTTCTGCCTTAACATAGTGTTAACCCTCTATGGCACGCGTTACGAACTTGTAACAACGTTTTTTAGGGTTTTTTAAACATTGAATCTTTTCTCTGGGGTATGATTTTGCAAATTTTCATAAGTTTTTTCTTTTTTGAATAACTGATTCCCAAAATTTAAAATTTTGAAAAATATTTGGTACTCAATGATTTTTATGCAAGCTACGAAATGGATTAGTATCCCCCAGAGTCTGAGATCCATAATTAATTCATGCCATAGAGGGTTAACATAGTAATTGCATCCCTATATACCAGTTGCTATACGCCAACACAGAAGAAATATTATAAATAAAGTACCTATACGAATGCAATATGTATAAAGAACGTATTAAGCTCCTTCACTTAGTGAAGAGTGAAATTTCAGCCTAACGTCGTCGTCACACTGAAATCAGATTGTAGCCATAGTGTGACGTGGTGTGAGGTCAAAATGACACCAGACAGCTTTCGAGCTGATATGAGAGAGAAACTCATTCTGACACACATATTTCATATTTCTGATAACATATTTGAATATACTTGAAACTATTGTAAAGATTTTTCAAATTCCAGCCAACGTAAGGCCAATTTTCCCTGTTTTCAAGGAATTCAATCACAAGAGGCGTCGAACCCTTGAAACAGACAGGTAGGCAATCGTTAAATTCGTCAAATTATGCCCAAAAAGTATGACAAATTTTGATTCCAGCAACCACTATCTCTGGCCATTCATGAAAGCACCTACTTACATTAAAAAACGTTTTTGCATGTATATTGTTTCAAAAAACCTGGTTCCATATTACAATGTTTAGTCCGGCCATCCGTTGAAGAAGTAAAATAAGACAAGAAATCTGCAATGTTGCAAACCGAGGCATATGGGTTTGGGACAGTCAGGCAACTAAAGTAACTTCATGGTAATGCGTCGAGTATCACGTGAAATTGAAGGCACTCCTAGCTGTAACGCCTCATTTTCATCATTGGTTCGTAACTGCTCGTTATGTGATCGTCCCTAAAATATCCTCGATTTTAGTCCTCAAAATTGGATGTTATTTAATTGTTATGGAGTGTGGTTCTGTGATAACGACTGGGGTCAGGTCGCCACCCAATTTTTTATTTATTTTTGTGTGTTTTTTGAAAATGAGCCGGTAACGACTCGGAACGTCCTGCCTTTTAGTGTTTGTAGTATTTTAGCCTAGTTTGCCCATGTTTTAATATATTCCTGTTGTATTCAGTAATTCCTATATCATAAGTTGTATTTATCGAAAACTCGCAATCTATGCTACTTAGGTGGTTGTACTCACGTGGTTTGAGTTCCATGTCCTGATCTGCCGAGCAGGAGTCCGTCGTGGTGATTTCAATCAAACTGGTGTTGTTGACGTTCATGGCTTCACCACGAGAGCACGAGATAAAAATGAGTATGTACAAAACAAAAAACGAAGTCTTATGAATATGTGTCATTAAGGATATCACAATTAAGTATTACCGAGTTGTCTGCGACTTTATTTTCATCGCATTGTTCCTCACCGTGTTCAGCGCTCGAAATCGGATCCTGCTGCAATCAAAATCCTTCCCCGACTGGGTCGTGTTTGGAATAAAACGAAAAAGAGGAGGGAAACATTTTTACGCAATTTTTGTTGATGATGCTGGCCGTCCGTGCACGCTCGTGCGCCTGTCTGTCTCCATTCGCGTCGAATCCTCCATGATGAAAGCGCGATTCCGAGTGTTTTTTCCTATTTTTCCGACCCGTGGAAAATTTATTTTATTCCATCGCTCGCACGAAAGTGTGAAAGTCAGGATTGCGTTTCTGAGTCCTCTGAACCGATCGTCGCACAGGGGATCGAGTCAATTAGAGAGGTCGGACATGAACTTTTTGACTAAAACTGCAAATTTTTATGTTTATTTCGTCACATTTTTTACTTTAAGGGTTGTTCCTTTAAGAAAATTTCACGAGGAAACCAATGAAACCATTTTTGGAACTTCAAAGTCTTGTATGAACGGAGTTATGAGCGTTTAAAGTTTCCAAATTTTGTCCGACTCCGATCTCTCCCATTGACTCGATCCACTGTGCGTCGGCGCGCGTTGGAACGAGTCGGTGGGAGCGATCGGGCATAATTTGGAAACTTTAAAAGCTCATTTGGATCGCATTTAGCAAAACGGAACCAACGCGATTACAGTGTTTTCAAAATCGTGCATCTTTTTCTTTCTTTTTAAAAATACTCGATAAATGTATAAACGATAAACGATTATTTTTCTTTAAAATTAACAATTTTCTGATGGGAAGAAAAACAATTTGCTACTCTGAGAGATTTTTCGGATCATTAAGAAGAAGCAACATTTTTACTTTCCTGTAATCAAGCTGGTTCCTCTTTGCTGAATGCGATTCGTATCTTTGTTAGTACAAAGCGGAAATGTTTAAAAATGGTTTCATTGGTTCCCTCTTAAAATTTTCTTTAAAGAGCATTCCTTAAACTTTACAATGTGACGGGAGAAGCATCAAAATTTGCATTTTAAATGAAACTTTTTATGTCCAGCCTCATTCATTGGCTTTCTCCACTGCAGGACGATTATTGAAATTGATAGACAAAGCTATATAGACAAAGAAGACAAAAGAGATATGGAGAGATCCTATTGGCGGAAACGGGTGGTTGCATGGGGAAAAGGAGTAGAGTATAATAGACTAACTACCGGCGACCCACGAGAGACCCTACCCTTAGTCTATCATTTTCTCCCTTTATCGATAGGAACCATCTTAATCGCTCCATACTCCCTATGTCTTCTGTTTATATGGCTTTGTCCATCAATTTCAATAATCAGTCCGCAGTGCGGCGATTTTGAAGTCTAATGCACTCGATGCGCCAGCGTGAAAGTTCATCGCTCTTCTGACGTGAGGGCGTATCTCTATTCCCACATGAACCCTGGAAAGCATAGATTTATACCGGGCACAGGGCTCATATGGAAATCGAGGTACGCTCTTACTTCAGAGGAGCGTCGAGTTGTGAGTAACCCTCTGACGGAAAGAACCTGATTGAAAGTTCTACCATTTGCGCATTCGATAAATCACTGTTGACTCGTTGCAGCAAGGCGGAGAAAAGGGCATGAGTGTGCTCATTTTTCATGGAACCAATTACAAATTACGTCACAAAGTTGGGGGGGGGGCAAACTGGCACCATGTGGAGAGACCCAAGTAGCACGGTGCAATAAAAATATTGAAAGAAAATTGCGATTTATTGCGATAAAATTGACATTTTTCGTAATGAAATTGCAATAAGTATGCATCATTCGGTCAATAAATGCCGATTTTAAACAATCGACAAAAGGGTTTTCATGTGTCAGAAAGATAGTCATGTACAGTGCAATGAAATGTGGCAACTAATACAATTTTATTGCAATACATAAAAATCCATGTGCCTCCAATCAGCAGACACACAACAGCAACATACATACCATTCGGTTATAGGACATTTCGTCAACGATTTTTTGTCTGCGCACCTATTTTTTCCAGGAATTTACGTCCATGCGTTTTTTCGGCACGGGAGTTTTGGTCCACGTACCAGTTGAGACCCAAAGTTTATTGGCCCACATGTAAATACAAACGACTCTTGCTCACGACGTTTTTGGATGAAAATATAAAATGTCTTGGAAAAATGAGGGTTTGCGTGTTTTTTTGTTTTGTCTGTTCGCTCCAACGAAGAATAATATATAGTTGAGAGTTTTGGTAAAAATGGGGGAGCGTCAATTTCATGAGACAAAATTCACTAAAACTCTCTACACCTCTTTGGTGTAACAGGACTTAATTATCTTTCAAGATTTTCCCACCTTGTTATACCTGAACCGGATAAACCCCTGTATTTGCCTCAGCTAAAGGCTCATAGATTGCTCCCGTGTACGATAAGCATCTTGATTTATTTTGCGAGGAAAGATCTGTAATTTTAAAGGATGCCTGTTATTCTTAATACGTTCAATTTTGTAAAATACTGTGCAACACCTCTGTTGTGGAATAGTCGCTTCAGGCGTCGCCGCACGGCGGGCGGGCGGCCAGCGCGAAACGCGCCTACAAACCTAAGTGGATACTACAAGCATTGTGCAATGCGTGAAGTATCCGCTTAGGTTTGTAGGCGCCAGTGAGCCTCTCGCGCAGGCAGCACGCCGCGCCGCTCCGCTCCGCGCTCTTTTAGGCTTTAATATTTATACTCGCATAGTCAGCGTTTTTTAACACAGGATTTTGAAATGTTTGCATACTCTGCATTTATTATTCTCATTTAAATTGATGGGAAAAATATGTAACAATTTATCAAAGGAGAGTAATGATATAATGCGTGTTTTTTAAATATTGGTGGTTCCGTGTCAAATTTAATGATTTCCAAATCACTTTAATTTTTTCTTTTACATTTTGTGCTTCATTGTGCTGCTGCGAGGTGTACTCGCAACCAAACGCTCAAAATTTGACGTAGTTGACTCTAAAAGATCGATGTACAAATGGGTTAAAACTAAAGATTGCGTGCTTCTTGTTTTTTCCGCTTTTATTCATGTTTGCAGTTTCTGTCGGCACAACTGCGGCTTAATCGTGGATAAATCATTATGGGTACCAATAACACACAAACATTTAAAAAATGTATCTTTTGAGAGCTTTTTAAAGTCAGAGAACGATGAATCGCAGCTGAGAGAGGTAAGAATTAATTTTGCCGGCACTGATGTCGGCTTTGAACATCATTCATGCCAAACGTTGATGGCATCATTAATTCTTCGAATTATTGCGTGATATTCAACCTAATGTTAAGAGCATCTGAGAGTGTTCAACGTCTAAAATTGAAAATCTATATTTTTTACCCATATTATTTTTTTGAACTGTATTGTACTGTATGGAGAAGACAGCTAGTAACCGAACAGAAGGTTTGGACCTGAGCCTGGGCCGGCTTTGTAATGTTTGAAACCTAATGCCTGGCGTCTAGCTAAAGTTTGAAACTAAAAAAATTCTGTCATTGAAAAAGATGGGTTCTCTTTTTTGAAAAATTTAGGCGTAAATTGAAGGGATCCGTAAAGAAAGGCTTAAGCGTGACGTAAAGTTGCCCTGTCATGATGCAAAATTTTACCTCTTTTACCTCTCTTAACTTTTACCTAAAAACTTATTCCCCTATTCATCAAAGGGTGTATGTTTGATCCTAAAAAATTCCATAAAATTCTCGTAAAATCTTAAAGAAAATTCACAAATAATTTTCAAATAAAATGTGCAACAGTGCAAAAGCTACGGAGTAAATGAATAAATCGTAAAATTCTTAAGTAAGTCGTAAATCGTGAAGTAATCGTAATCGCAAACTTTTAAATACAATTAAATTTATCTGGCTCTCACCTTTTCAATAAACCTTTGGGTGATTTTATGGTTACGCACTTGAAAATGAGTTCAAAGCAAGAGTTATACTTAAGGGATATAATAANACGCCGAAAAAACGAAACTGAAAGTTAAATGCGTTAACTTCCAAAAACCATACATAATCCAACGAAAATAAATAATTGGTAAATAACAGCTTTCTTGTATGCAAAGAAAAAAAATTAAAAATGTTAAAAAAGAGATGTCGACACAAAATTACATAGCCCCTTCAATTCTGAAGATACTACAAACGAACTGTACCTTAAAATTTTCATATCCCAGAAGCAAAAGTTCCCATGACGAATATTGCTATCGCTAGCGATTGCAAAAACCAACTTGTTTTTGTTTTGTCTCTTTGGTTCGACGGAGAATAATATATAGTTGAGAGTTTTGGTAAAAATGGGGGGTAAAATTCCATGAGACAAAATACACTACAACTCTCTACACCTCTTTGGCGTAACAGGACTTAATTATCTTTCAAGAAATTCCCACCTTGTTAGACCTGAATCGGATGAACCTCTATATTTGCCTCATCTAAAGGCTCTTAGATTTTTCCTGTGTACGATAAGTATCTTGATTTATTTTACGAGGAAAGATCTGTACTTTTAAAGGATGCCTGTCATTCTTAATACGTTTAATTTCGTATAATACTGTGCAACACCTCTGTTGTGAAATAGTTGCTTCAGGCGCCGCCTCACGGGTGGGGGTGGCCGGCGGCCAGCGCGGAACGCGCATCGGCGCCTACAAACCTAAGTGGATACTTCAAGCATTGTGCAATGCGAGAAGTATCCACTTAGGTTTGTAGGCGCCAGTGAGCCTCTTGCGCTGGCAGCACGCCGCTCCGCTCTGTTCGGCTTTAATATTTATACTCGCATAGTCAGCGTTTACATTATGACAAAACAACTCATCTGGTATGGTCATGTCCAGAGAATGGCAGGAGACAGGTTGCCGAAGAAGGTCCTTGACTGGGTTCCTCCTGGGAGAAGACGCAGAGGGCGCCCAATGAAAGGTTGGAGGGACGGGATTGAAGCAGAAATGTTGAGGTGCTCAATCCCCCAAGATTTGTGGTTTGAAAGAGAGCAGTGGAGGTTAGGAGTCGTAGAGCGCGAGGGAGTGCTGTAAAGCGACTTGTATGTATGTATAGTCAGCGTTTTTTAACTCATGATTTTGAAATGTTTGCACACTCTGCATTGATTATTCTCATTTAAATTGATGGGAAAAAAATATGTATCAATTTATCAAAGGAGAATAATGATTTAATATGTGTTTTTTTCAATATCGGGGGTTCCGTGTCAAATTTAGTGATTTCCAAAGCACTTTAATTTTTTCTTTTACATTTTGTGCTTCATTGTGCTGCAGCGAAGTGTACGCGCAACCAAACGCTCAAAATTTGACGTAGTTGACTCTAAAAGATCGATGTACAAATGGGTTAAAACTAAAGATTGCGTGCTTCTTGTTTTTTTCCGCTTTTATTCATTTTTGCAGTTTCTGTCGGCGCAACTGCGGCTTAATCGCGGATAAATCATTATGGGTACCAATAACACACAAACATTTAAAAAATGTATCTTTTGAGAGCTTTTCAAAGTCAGAGAACGATGGATCGCAGCTGAGAGAGAGGTAAGAATTAATTTTGCCGGCACTGATGTCGGCTTTGAACATCATTCATGCCAAACGTTGATGGCATTATTAATTCTTCGAATTATTGCGTGATATTCAACCTAATGTTAAGAGCATCTGAGAGTGTTCAACGTCTAAAACTGAAAATCTATATTTTTTACCCATATTATTTTTTTGAACTGTATTGCACTGTATGAAGAAGACAGCTAGTAACCGAACAGAAGGTTTGGACCTGAACCTGGGCTGGGTTTGTAATGTTTTAAACTTAATGCCTGGCGTCTAAAGTTTGAGACTAAAAAAATTCTGTCATTGAAAAAGATGGGTTCTCTTTTTTGAAAAATGTAGGCGTAAATTGAGGGGATCCGTAAAGAAGGACTTAAGCGTGACGTAAAGCTGACCTGTAATGTTTCCCTCTTTTACCTCTCTTAACTTTTACCTAAAAACTTATTCCCCTATTCATCAAAGGGTGTATGTTTGATCTTAAAAAATGTCATGAAATTCTCGTAAAATCTTAAAGAAAATTCATAAATAATTTTCAAATTAAATGTGCAACAGTGCAAAAGATGTGGAGTAAATGAATAAATCGTAAAATTCTTAAGTAATTCGTAAATCGTTAAGTGATCGTAATCGCAAACTTTTAAATACAATTAAATTTCTCTGGCTCTCACCTTTTCAATAAACCTTCGGGTGATTTTAGGGTTACGTACTTGAAAATGAGTTCAAGGTAAGAGTTATTCTTGACGGATATAATAATGAAAGGCACGAGTATATTTAAAAAGTTCTATTTATAACTTCAAATTGGAAAAACAGTTTCTACATAAAATTCAATAAATCTCTCTGGAGCAGGCACATTCATTTCGATGGTTTAGGCCTGAGTATAAAGCAAGATAACAAACTATTTGGTAAAAATGATGAGATAACATTATTCGAATCGACTAACATCATTGATTAAAAAATTTAAGTCATCAACCTGAAAATATTTCTTGAAATATAGCAACCTATTAGGAAAAAGACTGACGGTAATTCAACCGTGTTTTACAATTTAAAAATAATTATGCTCTAAACTACGGTTTCCATGAATGAAAAGTTGTACGGCGTTACAAACGTATAAAAAGATGAAATTTCAGAATTCTATATAAAAGCGCATCATCATTAAAATTGTAAAGATCATAAAGAACACATACTTTAAATCTAATTTTTCTCTCTAAAAGCTAGGTGACTAATGATAAAATAACTGAATAAACCTACGAACGAGGCAAAGCACAGGGCTAAAATACAATACTTGGATTAAGAACGACCCTTCAGGCACGCGCGCATTCACTCCGAAATCCTTAGGGATAAAAAAATAAAACATTCACGCATCATTCGAACACGATATCTAAGAATCATCGAATTAAAACGAAGAATCCCAGGGGCTAATATTGAAACAGGCACCATGGGCCGTATGAAAAGCTAGGGACTAGGTATAGAGGTACGATAGTTAGGAGGATTTTAAGGCAATCGAGTTTCGGTGGAGGGTTGGAACGAATGCTCTTGGAAAATTGGACAGTGTGCATTGCTCTCGAAGAAATAGGGTTGATGGCGGTTGCCCGTTTAACCCTGGCGGCAGCTGATCATGACTTTAATGGTGTTGTCCGCCTTCTTGCGGGCAGCTTCGAAAGCGTCGACCGTCTGTTCCAGCTTGAAGCTGTGGGTCACCAATTGCTTGACGTTACACCGTCCGGATGCCACCATCTCAAGAGCGATCGGATAGCTGAAACAAACAGACAAAGGGTGGTCAACTAAGCGGTCATATTGTACCTTTTGATAATAGTATCAAAAATAGACTGCATTTTGCAATCAGGAACTACAATATCTGGTTCATCTGTAAAAACAGTAATCTACATAGGAAAACTAACGGCGCATACCTTGTTTCTAAACTGAGCCAGAAATTTTAGTCCCTAATTGCAAAAAATAGTCCAAAAATCATTTTCATTGGAATCGGCTTACCGATGGATTTGAATAGACTACGCACTGGACAAAGTAAGATGTGAGCACCAGGAGGGCAAGTTTCCTTATTATTTCATGAAAAACAAGTTAAAAGTATTGCACCAACCCAGAATGAACACATCAACAAAAGGAGCACTGTTTTTTTTTAAAAACATCAGATTTTGGAATTTGAGCTACCATCGCCTATCTTAGCAAGAAAAATAGTGTTGAACCCTGCCAAAAACTTCTCAGACATGAAAGGTAACCTAGTGTGTGCCGCGATTTTCGATCTATTGCCATGCGCACCGAGAGATCGTAACTTTTTTTTATGGTCCAAGTATTGACATTTGGACTGCATTTTGCAATTGAGAACTACAATTTCTGGTTTTTTTCCAAATCACGAAAGCCCCAATTTCTATTTTGGTGGTGGAGGGGCTGTTTTTTTTGTTTTCTCTGGTATTATCAAAAATGTCTGGTTTCAAAATAGCCTTCTGAAAGGACATACGTTTTTTGGAATTCGAAGATTGTCAATAAAGCGAATAAAACGGGTTTTGCTTGTTTTTCTCGCATTCGCAATTTTGGCGCTTACATGATTTGGATAATGGTAGGTTCAATTAGTTTCCCCATGCACATGGGTGTTTTTACAAATGGGGTAGAAATTTTAGTTCCTAATCGTTAAATGTAGTCCATTTATCGTTCTCACTCCGCGTGATTCAACGACACTTGCGCTTATTGTTAGATTCCTACCGAATGAATCGAATACAAGAGCAAATTTGAGCTTTGAAATGAGCTCTATTGTAATCATTGGTCCCATGCTCAGGAATCAGAGGCGTAGCTCCATATGCGGGTTCATGCATGCCTCGCAATGCTTTATCACGACATCAGATAGAAACGATGGGCTGCACGATGCATTGATCGTGCATGCATAAACAGCATCGTGCTCGCAGAATTGCATCTTATATAGCGTTGAAAAATCAGGAGAATCCATACGTTTGCCAAATTTTTGGGGGCTAAATAATTAATGGAGATTAAAAACTCGATAGGTGACGTGATACATAGGGCTGTGCTAGACTATAGTTGCATTGAATTTACTCTTATTGTAATGATGCAGTGGTGTAGCTAGGAAAACTTAAGGGGGGG